ATCTTCTGCAGGACTCCACGGTGCGGTCGCCATTGATACTTCCCTGCCCAGAACTGCATGATGCACTTGAGAGCTAGATGTGCTCCGAAGCTGACAGTAGTGCGGCAAGATCGGGTTGCCGACCGGTCGCACGCCGCCATAGAGTTAGCGCGGTTGCGTCGCACGGTTGGCCTGAGTCGTAGTGAGAGAGCGTCGTTCCGCTTTATTTAAACGTCCAGTCATGATGCTGGTAAGTTCCATCTTAATTCGAGATGAGGGTGCCACCCCCGGCCGTTAGCTCAAGCGAGACGTTAGCTCAAGCGAGACGGAATTTGAACGCCATCGCGAGGCAGAAACGACCGAAGTGCTATCGCTTTTCCATGGGCATCTTTGCCATGCTGTCTGTGGGTGTGAACCGCACTTCGCCGTTCTCAATCCAGGTCCATGAGAGACTGTCGCGAAGTGTTGCCTTGTCATGGGCAAAACTTGCACCGTTGTTCTTGCACCTGAATCCTCGTTAATCAAGTAGCTATGAATTGTATGCCATTGACGCGTGCTCCAACCACCTTTTGTCAAAACGACCGATCCATGTAGAACGGCGTTCTGTCACAGCGGCGTGATGTGTTGTGTTGTATCCCGCACAACACATCACGCCGCTGTGATAGAAAGCCGTTCTCGATGAACCGAAAACTCGTGTTCTCATTGAGCACGGCGACCATGGTCATAACCTTCGCGAAAATCTAATCCACGTAGGATCAACGAGTAGAAACATTCATTGGAGTGGGTCGTAAGCCTTCGAGAAGTCAAGAAGAAGCGCGAGCGACCCACGTATCGTCTCGTCAACCGTTTCTGCGATTTTGGCTATTGCGTGGATGTCGAGAGCCGTTTTGATCTCACGACCAGGTACAAAGTCGACTTGCGCGTTTTTTATTGTCCCCGGTGATAGAGCACGAAGCTTTTAAGCTAGGATTTTTACGAATAGCTTGCTATCGCTGTTCAGAGGAGCGATGAGTCTGTGGTCCAGCAGCAAGGCCGCGGCAGCTGACTCCTGGAGGCACTGGATGTTGGCTTTACCGAACGACGCCGGCACCACACCACACTCTAGCCATTGCACGAACAGCAGCACAAGGATTGGTGCGAGCGGCAATGCATTGTCTCGATAGAACATTTTGCCAAGTTCGTCAGGACGGGCAGACTTGCCTGACTTCAGCTTCTTTAACGCAGCGGCAACTACGTCCGGGTTGATTGAGTGATAACTGCCGTGTCGTCCAGACCTTTCTATAGATACGCTCCTTTCAGGAGGATAGCAGTCTCGGCATGTAGTCGTAATGCCAATGCATGATGCTCTCCCAATCGTCCGCGATCTCGTCCGCAAGCACTCGCGAAAGGTTTCACCCGTACGACGCCACCCCGCCCAGTGACACGATTGTTTTATCTTAATAATTTCGTAAGCACCCGAGGGAAAATGGCACGGCGACTTTTCCGGACATTACATGTGCTGTCGGAGCAGGTGCTCATATAGATCGCTGCCACCTGAGCCGGAACTTGGCAAGTCGGGACATATTAGCTTGCGGAGTATTCATGTCGTCATCTTCGTCGAGAGTTTCGACCGTTTCATTCACATTGTTGCGGTATTCTCGCGTGGATCGTATTTAATTCTGCTGCATCGGGCGTTTTGACGCCAGTTGCTATGCATTGAGGTGCCGATGAAGTCTGCGCAGCGGTTATCGGTAGATCCGATTCATGCGCCATGTGAAGCGACGAGCCTCGATCAAAATCTCCTCTCGCCAAGATGCATTCCAGCTGTCTCACCAGTTTGCAAGCCGTTGCGACGTTGTCGTTTCCGCGTTATCGATGTCCTTTACTCCTTCTACTTCGCGTCTTGATACTTCGAGTGCTTTCTCGATAACGAGCGCGACTGTCTTCTCTGCACTCACGGTTACCGGGTAGACTTGGATGGGCTTCCGCACCGGGACAGTACGTGAATTCGCGCCGACTCGATCGTCACTCCATTGTGATCTGCCGCAGGTACCGGGGCGGATGACTTGCTATCATAAACCAATACCTGGTTTGATACGCTGATGTATCATCGATCGAGGCGGTTCCTCGCTCGTATACCAGTCGGCAGGTGGTAGAAGTGAGTGTGCGCTCGGGTGTGGAACTCGTAATGTCTGCGTTTTTTTTTCATTCTCTCGGTCTTATCGTCGAGCACGTCAGCCAAACTCGTGCGCTTCAGCAGTTGCCGGAGGGCGGGCGAGTCGTGTCGACTCTCCGGAACAGCGTATGAGCGGCCGAGCCTTGCGTGGAGCGTGCAGATAAGATCGCCAATAAGTAGTACCGGACCGGTATGTTAGGCTAGGATCGGGGTGAGCCTCTCGCACTGCACCTCGCATTCATATTGTCTGTGGATCATATGCGTTAACGATACCGAATTGCCACCGTGTTGTTCGACCCGTGCTGCCACCCAGTGCTCTGTGATAAAGCGACTATGGAAATTCGCTGTAGAGGAACTGATCGCATTCCCGTTTGGTCCGGGCCAGTTAACGGTTGGCTTCCCGGTCCCACATCTGATCAAATCGCGTCCATTGGACAGTCAGACTAAAATAGATATCAGATCCGGCAGGTTGGTACCTGCGATCATGGGTCAAGGTATGAGGCGGAAGGTAACGTTGGCGATCAGTCGATCAAGAAAATGACCGCGATCAGCAAGGCAATCGCGATCAGGAAGCGATCGAGATCGTGATTATTGATCGAGATCGTGATCAGTGATCAGGTATGTGATCGCGATCAAGTTGGTGTAGAGCACACCATGTGATTCGCGATCAGCAAGGCGATCACGATCAGGAAGCGATCGAAATCGTGATCAGGAATCATGTATGAGATCACGATCGTAATTATTGATCAGGTAGGTGATCGCGATCAAGTTGGTGTGGAGCACACCATGTGATCCGCGGTCAGCAAGGCGACCACGATCAGGAAGCGATCAGACAAGTATATCAGGTGTGGGCCAGGCAAATACAAGATCGCTACCGTCTAGAGAGAGCGACATGTGGCAAACGATGTCCAAGACATGGGTATAGGGATAACGTTGTTGGTTTTGATTGGTTAACATTAAACAGAGTTCAATTTGCTTCAAATTACACGTGTCGGCTTATCCTCCGGGTGGATCATTGTCCACCCGACGTCAAGGAAAGGTTTACATACTTTAATCAAGTGATATCCCTGGATTATTTGGCCAGGGATCAAGATCTCTCAAACCACACCTTTAATGCTACTGGACGCAGGAAACCCTTTGTGGTTGAGGACCCAAGATCGCGAGACGGCCCAACTGGTCAGAAGAGTCGCGAATCAAGGTCTACATTTGGACAAGGCGATCTGTTACAGATCGGTGTGACTCATATCGAACACCCCGCACGCATAGAAGTGATCGCGTGACGAATATCACGTGATCACACCAACCCCGATCGTGGTGTGAAGATTTCCACACAGTGATCGAACCTCGACCCCATCGCAAACACGGTCAAGTTTTCCATTGACACGAGTCCGCCTGAAAGAGTGCAACCCGCCCCACCGACGGGTACACAATGTGAGGAAGGCAATCAAGAACATGGAATAGGAGTACCCACTACGTTAGTCGGTCGTCCGGGTGCCAGTGAAGAGTTGGGATCGACTCCTCAAAAGAGCGATCACCACTCCAACACAGCTCCGTCCACAGCTGCTCTCTCCACGGCACAGACCGGTGACGGTAGACTGCAGATTGAAGAGATGAGTGACTGCCTTCTTTGAATATATGTTTTAGTCCACATCGTCAGCCGTGCTTTTTCTCATCCTTGAAACCTCATTCCTCGCAGAGAAGCGCTTTATATCTTGTTTGCTTCTGCTTCCATGACTCAAGTCTCTTTGAAGAAAACAAAGTCAACCGGTCCACGATCTTTTCGCTGACTGTAATACGAGAACCACTCCATGCTCCGATTGGATCCTTCGGCAGTCCTGCGGAGTTCTGCGTGTGCAATCTCATGGCGTTCTTAAGTGGTCTAGACCTGGAGTATTTAAAACCCCTTGTCGTAAGCGAGCTGCAGCTCACCACGAGCCGCACCGATGCCCGCCCTGACGCGGCTTGAGGAGCGCCCGAGGCGCCTTTAGATCCTACGCGGCAGCTCCTGGCCCTCATTTGTGATGAGATTGAGGACAGGCTTTCATTCGGCTGTACTCATGAGGACACCTTCGATGGCTGCGCGTACAGGGTCGGAAGTACATTATAGTGACGCCTTCGTTTGTGGTATTACAACGGCAGTCTATGTGTCGCAGGATCGAGGTTGGGAAATAGCAAGCAGAAGGCGTCGTGTGCTCCCCACTCGTTAATTTCCACTGAATAAACGACAGTTGCGCAGAGCAGCATTTTGTCATGCTGTTCCAATAGATCCCACTTTTTGATCGAGTCCATAGTTCTCCACCTAGTCTTGTCCTTCTGGACGCCAGCCACAGCTGCCCATCCTGTGCAGATGTCGTGGATCTCCGCTGAGAGGTTGCGATATGCGGCGTACTTGCGGATAACATCAAACTGTGCCCCGCTGTTGATCGCGTGGATGAAGTTCAGCTGTGATTTCCGAGTCATTCTTTGGAGATCATCGATTGGATACAGAAGCGTCTTGCCAAGCTTGGTGGACTCGGTAATTTAGTCCATAATCTATAGATCTAGGTCCTTATTGGCAGTCGGTAGGGCGGCGGGTAGTTGTACGTGGCGCTTTCGCGTGGTAATCCACTTCAGGACCGCTGCCGAAATCTCCGCCTTGGGGGCTTAGCGGTGGACCTTTGCGGTAGAGTTTCTTGATGGCCTGTCGGCTGCGTTGCCTGATGACTTGGAGGTTGCGTTACCAGTAGGATTGGCGGTCGCATAACTGCTGCTACGCCGACTGCAAGCCTGACGGTTGCATTTACTGGTGCCGGTGCACCGGAAGGTGATTTGAGGACGCGCGACTCGTTCATAGCTCGGTCGTGGGTACAGCAACTCGCTGTGCGTATTACGCTTCTTGGGCATCGTCCACGTCCTCTAGACACGGGATGATTGCAAGACGGGTATCGTCTTTGGCCCCTCCCGAATCCTGCGGCTGCTCTCGGTCAAAGGTAGCCGTAAGAGCTTGATGGATGGTAACCGAGCTGTTCTCTACGGTGGCGTGTTTGTCATTCTAGCTGCATCAATTTGACCGCTACTCGCCTCGCTCGAGATCTTCGATTCGCATCGTGTCATTCAGGCCGCGGACCGATTCCATAACCATGTCCGTGGGTTCGCGTCGTCTTTGATGCTCGTACGATCCTGATCGTCGTTGATTTTGTTCATCGGTGGCTCGACACCAATTGGCGTGCTGTCGCCCTCGCCGTTCGGCGTGCCGGTTTCTGCGCCGTCCACCGTGCTTTTTTCTGCACCGTTCGACGTGGTGTCCCATTCGTCGTTTGGCGTGCTGTCACCCGCGCCCTTCGTCGTGCTACCGCTCACGCTGTTCGGCACAATGTCGCCAGCCGCAGTCATCGGGGCATTGTTGGAAGGAGGCGATGGTATGGGGTTGTTTGATTTTCTCTGTAAGGTTTGCTGTTGACCATAGTGAGGTGATAGGATTTGTTATTTTATTGTGGCCTTCTCCTGGGCCTTGGTCTTCGTATCTTGCTGTCATTCGCGCTCGGTCACAGCTGTTGGTCTAAGGTGATGCGGCACGTGCATGGGAAGGAAGTTGCATGCGTGCGTGTGTCTGTGTGTTAGAGATTGTCGTTCTCTATCTTTGTGTCAACGGAAACGTTTTGTGCCACATCAGAGAAACCCTTGAATGGAAATCAAACATGGGAAAGGAACAGCAGATTTGATGGGGCGGGTGGAATGAAGCATTGATCAAGAAAGATGAGTAGCAACGGTAGGAATGTGTTTACACGCATAACATAATTCAATTTCTGTTTTGCAGCTTCGACCAACAAGTGTTCTTCACTTTAACGCTTCGATAGCTCCAACAACAGCAAGCTTCCGCCACACCTCAACATTGCGAAGCCCGCCCTCGCCGGCAGCACGGGCGATCATTTAGGTTTTGCGCTGCACCGACTCGTGCGCTTTCACCATCTTTTCATCAATTAATTAATGTTGCACCTCCGGTTCGACGGCTCGCGAAGCAATTACAAGCGCATGACATTGAGGATCTCGGCCACCAGTAGGTCTGGCGTCGCAATCTGCTCTACCGTCACTTCACGGGTAAAGGACGCCACAGATACCATCAGGTCCGTGGTCTTGTAGTCCTCGCGGAAGTGTTTGATCTCAAACACGCTCTCCTCGGGATTCAATGGCTGCTTCGTGGTTGGTGTACCCCCACTCCTATCACTGAGCCAGCACTGGTGACGCGCAGCACCACCACGGAGCACTCGGTGAAGGAGAAAGTGTCTGCTCACTTGTGCAGTCCGAACCTGTCATCGGCTCCCGATTCGATCGATTCGATTGAGACGATTAGCGCTGTTGTTGGAGCATCCATCATTCTGCATACCAGCGCGGGATCGGAGTTTCTCATGCCGAGCACATGGACGCTGTAGAGTGGAGCATGCGAGAGCGTGTCGTACCCAGTCTGTTGGACTCCAATACACAGCGCCTCTGTCTAGCGAACTACAAGCGTCCCTTTCCGTACAAAAAACGTTTCCTTCCGCGCTGCTTGGACTTTTGTCTGGAACAACACCAGCTCAACGACGTAGGAAAGCGATGAGCTTTCAACTCGGTGCGCTGAAGAGAAGATTCCCTCGATGCGCGATATGTCATCATCGGACTTCGCGGCTGCCAGGAGCATTTGGAAGATATGCAGATTGTTGCCTGTAGCCGGTCGCATGAACTTGACAGGAAGATTCGCATTTAACCGCGGACAATTCCGCTTGCAGAAGTAATAGATGCACTCGTCTCCCTCAGCACTGACATGTGTCTCTTTGGCAAACTTCAGCGGCTCCGAGAGGAAGATATTCTCCCCAAGCTACGCCATGATCATACGATTCTCAATGAGCATCACCTCTTGCTGAATCCATCCACGCGGTAGCGGTACTTGTTCCGGGCGCATTCTTACAAGAGTTGGTGCTTGCTCTCATGGTCTTCCGAGCAGTGCGGGGCCCTCGACGCTGCATCCGTAGCTAATGCTGGCCCAGCTTCCGCTTTAGCTTGCCACGCGATGCGCTCTTTCAGCTTCGCCACGTCGGCTGACGCCCATGCTCCGGTTGGCGCCTATTGTGGCGGCGAGTCATTCGTCGTCGCGCTTAACTTGTCTTGCTCGGTTCGCGCGCCCGCGTCGGCGGCGAGTCAGTCGCCGCCTTCGTCGCAGAACCGCATTCGTCGGTCCCTCGTCCTTGCATACTTATCGCTCTTCCCGAGCCTACGCATGTGCGTGATGACCGGAGATGTAAGCAAGTGGTACCCTTCCAGATATACCCGCCAATCAGATCGACGCATGAGCAGTTGGCCGTTTTTTGGAAGTATAGAACTGTATATGACACAGATAGGTTTCCTGATAAATTCTATGCTGATCTTACTTTGACTATGTTTAAGTACAGATGTCGAATGTAGCTAGTCGCTCACCACCCATTGCGCGCGTCTAACGATGTGGCATGGTTTAGTTGATTGATGTAGTGGCATATATTTGTAATTAGCAGAGCAGTGATGAATATCAATTACCTCAAGGGCAATATTGCTTTATGATTTACTTAGCAAGGTAAATATTGGCGAAAATATTAAAGTGAATCCTTTTCTGATAGACCCGATTTGGTAATAACTACACGTTACAGGCTCACCGCGCACAGGCTCATGACTAGCGCCTTCATGACGATGTCAGCTTAGCTTACCAGACATTGCGGGACAAAACGATCAAATACACATTGAGCTTTGTACGCGGGCGTTTGCAAAAGGAGCACCATCATGGTTGACATCCTGCTAGACATTACGGATAGGACATACCCCTTAAGTGTTGGGGATGGGGATCGCAACCGTCAAACCACGTGCAACACGCATAATGAGTTTTTTTTCGAGTGCAGCACGCACCTTCCGCGGCTGATCCAAATGAGAAATGATCAATAGTCGGGAGAACTGCAAATCGCATCGGTATCGACGCTTCGGTGAGGCAAAGCGATTCTCGTTGACGTTATAAAGCAGTCAGGTATCGAAGATCAGCTCTCTGTTAGACACGATACTGGCGATCACAGGCCGCACGACACGTTGTCGCTACGGATGTCGGCGAGAGGCACAACCGATGGTCGGCCGTGCGCACACTGAAACGGCAAATGACACATCTTGAGCTCCTCGATGAGGTCCTGGCACTGTGTTAGACTAAGCCGGTCGCCAAACATAATTGCGCTGCGGCAAGCACGCGAGTGTAACAATCGCGTGATCACTGGCGGTCGAATCTGCGCATGAAGGTACGTTTCGCCAGCGTTCGACAGGAACTGGATGAAGTCTCGAAAATCGTCGACGTTCGAGGCTCGTCTTTCGACTTGTGGTGTTGCATGGAGCGCAACACGACCGCCTCCGTCGAATTCCGTCGTATTGGACACGTTGATGAAAGCTTGTCCCGGTTTCGACGAAAGGCACTCGAACTTGAAACCCCATCCTGTTATCAGCTCTTCGTGGTACTGCATTGTTTCATGTTCTTTTGCATTCACGTGGAGAATGAGTGGTGGTTCGTGGTCATACCTTTCCACCTCGCGAAGAGACCTATCATGACCAAAAACGTCTTTCTCCAACTTCTCCAAGCGTACACGCTCATCTGCTGCGTGCTGGTCAATGCAAAGTAGCAACGTGCCTTGAGAAGTGTCTGCCCGAACGAGAATGAATTTACGGTCAACCTGGCGAATCACCTGCAGCTTCGCGAGGGTGGACTTGTCGATCTTAATCATTTTGTCTCCAGCCATGATGCGAACATTGTCAGCATGCAATCCTGACGCCGCGTGCGTGACGAGATATTTGCTGGAGTCGAGCCGACGTCTCAAGAACTTGCTTGACGATCGCTCAACCTTTTGCATCAAGAAGTAATCGGACGTGGCTTTGACAACGGCTGGCGTGTGGAGTAGAGGACGTTTGCTTTTTTCTTCGCGCAACGCATTCCAGGTAGTTGGCGAGCACTCGATGTGCTGCCTCATTTGATCCGCCGTTTGAGAGCATTCAGCATCCATGTTATAGTTGCTGTCCTGGCACAGGTCCAACAGGAGATCTGCGCAATCGTGCGCATCCGGCTTGCTGCTTAACCATGGCATCATTGATACTCCTGCCTCCTGTTGTACATCGTTTAGCTGCGTTAGAAAGCGCGAAAAAGTGACATGATATAGCAGCATCGGACGACTCACCTCAACACGACCAGCTCTTTCAGCAGACTCTACAAGCGGCATCGATGGTTCGTGAGAAAAGAAAATGTCTTCCAAGTCGTCCTCGCTTTGGTCCGTGCCAGCCAACCCATGATCATCGTCAGTCGACGTGAAGCAGACCTCAGCCGTCTCTGGTACATAACGGGTCGTTGCGCTCGGACGGTGAGGCTTATTGGTATAAGACAGGACCTGGTCGTCAAGCCTGACATTCTCCCTAGAAACATAGCAGGTTGAGAGTCGTGAATGCTCACGAAGTAGCACAAACCACACGTACGTGTCTTCGCGAACGTGGCCGCAAGCTTGACACGCATCGGAGCTCATGATTGGAAACGCCGTACAGTCATCTGTGTAAACAGATACCGGAACCTCGAAAACGTCCATGATCGGTGTGTCGTAATCAAAAGTGCGGGCTGGGCTACCAGGGGGAGTGATCGCAACGTCATCAGAATCACTGGGTATCAGTGCAGGTGGCTCGTGTTCCGGCTCAGCACTGAACGATGTTTGCGAGGTTACTTCTCGGCCACTCGGTTCTTGAATCTACGCGGCACACACGAGTTATAGAGAAGAATGCACAAGACCCCTGTCGCATATCGCACCTTGATCTCCTCTGCTTCACTGGCAGCCAGTTTCTAGTTGTGCACAGTCAGTTTCTCACAATTATCGATCACGGTGCTATTCTCCGTACCTGGACAAACTCAAATAGAAATTGGCGGAATTCATCAGGAGCTTTGAAGCACATGCCTTCCTCCTTTCTCATTCTGCACGCATCGTACTGATCATGGGCTACAGTGACTTTCAGAACAAAAATGGGAATGGCTGTGATGCAGCGGAAACCACATCGTTAGGACGCAACGTGAAGACTTTTGACCAAAGAGAAGTCAAGGGGTACCCGATGAAATAGCTAGAGCAGCTTCCGTACCCGATGAAAGAGCCAGGGCAGCTTCCGTTATTGCTTGTGAACACACTTGTTGACACTCTGCTACCCATTCGTTTTCCAGGAACGCGAACTGGTAGTAGCTTTTGGCCTGCTTCACTCCTTGCCACGAATCTTCGCATGCACCAGGAATGAAAGCAAAGTATCCTCGAATCGAAAACCTGAGAGACTCGGACGCAAAGCTCACGTACTAGACGACAAAGAATTGGTGACTCATAGCAGATAAACTTGGATCGAAGCAGCAGATCTCACCTGCAGGTGCTCCCCGAGTACGTCTCCGAAATGCATCGAGAACCGCTCGAGACAGGATGCAGCAGCAGGAATTGATACCGGTCTGAAATCTCCCCCTGTGTGGAGTGACAGCACACAATCAGCACTTTGTTGTCCTCGAGTCGGTTTGAGATGCTTTGTCGCTCCACTCAACGTTCTTCACATGCCTTGATACTGGACGTCAAACGACAATGGTGGCCATATCATCGACATGCTCACGCAAAAGGTTTTGATTCCTTTGGTCACACGGGATCGATACTTCGCGTTGCGAGACAGGTCTTTGTGCCGTACGGGGAGCTTTCCAAACATATTCGAGACACAGACCTTGGTCCCTGTTGCTTGGCGTAAATCTCTTGATCGGGCGTTGAAGACGACTTTTCCTTCCTTCAGTCATGAGCGCAAAACAAAGCGTGAAAAGCAAGTCTCATGTCTGAATCTCTGATCAGGGTAGATGAGTGTCAACCTGAAAGACTTTGCGGTAAGAGCTCCAGTGCTCCTGCGCGCGACTTTCGATCTCAACGGTGGTAGCAAGTGAGGTTAACGCGTACAGGAAGGCGCCACGAGAACCGTAAGACTCCGGTCGAATCTCGTCGCCTTCTTTTCTTTCCAATGCCGGGAATTTCGCCGAAGCTATACAGTGGTAACGTTGGATGCTTTGTCAAGAACAAGACCAGTCTTCATCAAACACAAGAACCTCTTACCGTAACATTCGCCAACGTGGGCGTAGAGGCTATCGGGATGGATTCCGCAGCCTGGACACAACAGTGATAAGAGGTGCTGCCACACACGCTATACCCGTTCTCGCTGTTGCACTTTACCGTCGTCCACAGCCGTAAAGGACGCGGTCATCATGTCTACCACCAACTTGATCGTCTTTGCATGAGCATCGATAGCGTTGTAGATTACTGTTCGTTCAGTCGTCGCGTCAGCACTCAACGCCGATGAATGCATTCTTATTTCCACTTCACCTTGCTGCACTGCCGTCTCAAGATCTGGTAATGCATAAGATGCCGTCATGATTCGACGCGTTTTTTCGTCCAGCACTTCCATTCTCGTGTCCGAAATGGAATGTGTGGGATCGAAAGTGGCGAAATAAGGACCTGCCTTTCTCACGTGTCAGAAGGTACACTGAGCCACCCGACATTGCACAGATTACAGTCATGCGGATCAACTGCTATCTATCTACCGCTTCAAGTATAGATACAGTTAAACAACATGCGTCAAGCCATATCTGCATTTAAATTGACGGCAAACGGACCGATCGAGCTTTAGAGCTTTTGCAGGGATCAAGCTTCGTGTGTGACGTAAATGTTGGCCCCGTTCCTCATAAAAGTCGCTGGTGTTTCTCGATGTTGAACCATACACAGCGCGCAGATTTTGTGTCGAGCGCGTATTTGGTTGACCAGAGGGGGAGCGTGCGGACAACGAGGGCGCTAGGGATTGCGCAGCTTCGTAGTACCTGACAATGTGACTTACACAGCACTTGAGCGATGGTGCAGCTTATGACATATACATACGTGTATCCTGATTGTCTATCCGTAGATGATAGCGGGTGCCAGGCAGCATTTGATGCTGTCCACATCGGACCATATAGCAAGCGCACATCAACAGGCGTGTCTCATCACGCATTGTTCGGAGCAAAGATGCTCCGCACCTTTCTACCAGAGAAGACGTTGCGCTCGTCCATATACCAGGTGCGTTCTCATTTACTAGATGATCCTATCTGTATATTCTTAAATTGATACGTGCAATGATAAAGGTGGCAAGACAGAGATGGATGGCGTCAGGTACGAAAGCTGAACACCGATGACGTCTTCTTAGGAAAGTCGACTGTACACGACACATGCAAGGAGTGCTAATAATTGAACATGAAAGTTCGACGTGACAAGTAGCAATGACAGATAAACATGATAGTTGGATGTTCCGATGAAGCCGTAGCTTAGTAGGCACTGTACGCCTCCATAATGTTGTAACATTCTGATATGACATGCATATCCAACGCCTACACTCTTCCACCTTCATTATTCCCTTGCTTCCGTTGTAGATACATGTATAGTGTCATCTGGTCGTAAAGAGCGCAACACTCGGAAGCAGCCTTCCAGAGGGTTGTTGACCGAAATGTAAAAAAATGTGGAATGATAGATCGACTCAATGCAACATCCGCACGAGTACATGTCGTGATGGGTGTAGCAGCGGACAGATGCGATGAGCGATCTGTATGGCGTGTCTATCATGTCGTTATCTCATTTATATGTCATTGGCGACTGCAACTTCAATCGTTAACCCAGATCTACATGTACAGTCTTAGCCTCGATATCTTTCTAATATTATCTTTGCACGGCGCCATGGATGTGACGACCTGGCTATATTGCAGTATAGATTGATGAGGTGCTATTCAGTCTTCATTTACCTCATATAAAAAGTAGCCATACCGAAGTTATTCATCTTGACTGACGTTTCTTATTACATTTTCGCTTCAGAATTTACGAGTTGGTCTTAGCTGCGATAACTACGTCGTCCGCGTTTAGCATATGTAGATGTAGTTGCCTTCATTATATATACGTAGGAGCATTTATCAGGACCACACCTTCTGACTCTCGAGCGTATAAATACCTCATTACAATGTGTTTCATACTCTTCACGCCTTTACGATTCGTACGACGCCTTGTCCAGTCTACACAGTATGTGCGCGGTTTAGTAATTTCGCGCGTCACCTCCCCATACACGAGCTCCATAATATCGCTATGCGAGAAAGCAGTGTCAGCATCTCGCCTTTTGACGACGTATGCCTCGGTGACTACTACCGTACACACGACCCATACATAAGGTAGTTGACGACAGGTAAGAACGTTTGACCAATCTCAACCTCATAGTTCTCTTTGTAGCCCTTCGCCACCAAAAAATTTGCACCTCAGAACTTATGCTTGCTCGTTCCTTATTATTCGGAAAGAAGTGTCTACATTCTATTGCTGTCAGAATTTTTTGCAGACAGTGTCCGTTGTCTAGTGTCAGCTTGAGCCTGTGACTGTAAATTTATTGCCTTCATTCACTCCGACGCATCATCCTTCTTCATGATCTGTATGTAAAGGCGTCGTTTGTGTACCGACATTAGAATCATACGCTAGAAACGATTAGAAATATGCTTATCTTTATCGACACTTGTTTGTTTGGGTGCTGGTTGCCAGTAGTGGTCTTCAACATTGGGTATTTCTCTGCAACAGCAACATATTTGAATAAGTTAATCCGCCATTTTCTAGAGGAATAGGCGTACGCTCGCATTTAATCTGGCTGGTGGCGCGTGACAAATAATTGAAGGCTCTGCCATTTCCTGACCTCTTATTGAATCTTGGACCTTCTATGCTGGGATGGCTTAAGGTCTTGCATCTCGGTGTCGTTATCGATGTCGTCTCTCGAATCCATTGGCTATCATACATATGTAATTATTGTTCTCGCCTTCGTGCTGAGTATCCATAGTTTCGTCCTTTAATTTTGCACAAGCGACTTTCTTTCTGCCACAGTCGTGTTTTAGATGTGGTTCACCTCGTGCTCGGTAAACGCTTACGACTTCAATAACCTTGGTTTTTGTTTGCATCTAAGTTACATACGCGGTTTCCTGTATTATTTTCGGCACCCCCGAGAAACACACACTTAGGCTGTCCAAACCAAAGTTGGTGCCTTTGGCACTTTCGATGTGAGCCTAACTTATCGACACAACACGCGCACATGATAAAGGCGAATCTTTGCTTAGAAATAGCTACTAGGGCTTATAAAAAATCGCGTGTACACCTATTCGTCGCGACCGATTGGTTAAGTTAATTGCCGTGCTGACGGTTGTTGCCGACCATACCGGCGATTAACTTTTGTAATGAGTCATACTACCTGCTATATTTATTATAGCGCGGTTCATGCACTCTGCAATACTGTATAGTGCTGTAACAGGATGGGCCTGTTATATGTCATTGACATAAAGCAGGTCAATGCGAATAACACCTATAATTTACAACTTTGCTAAGTAAACACAGCTGTCAAGTGGATAAACGAAGACCCAACTATGATCTACCGTGATGCAGCCCTGTCGATCGTACTGGTGCTCCACACCTTAAATCAATGATGCAGCTGATCGAAAAGGGTCTTCATCGTGCATGCGTTCGCGCGTAGTTGTCGTATCGAGAGAGCCACGTGAAGAACGCTAGCACTACAACTGCACTCGATACCGGTGGTGTAACGGGGCAAACCCTTGCGTAACTTAACGCAAGGGTTTTCGGTGCCCCGACAGACGTACACGTGGCAAGCGAGGAAGCGTATCTAGGGTAAAAGTAGAACTGTTATATTAATATAATTAAGTCTTTTAACTACTGTCTCTCTGTTTGAATTAGCTTAACTATACTAATATAACTGGATGTATGGTGACGTCTCGTCACCACTCATTGCGCGCGTCTTGTGGCGATTGGTGGGTTGATATCATCAAGATATCAACCAATGAACAGACCCTTTGGTCGACCCTTCAATATCACCACTTTGGTGATATTGTTTAAAGAACATCCATCTTTATATTCTTTATTGTCACTTTCCTTAAAGTGACAATTTCATGTAACGGGCTGCCCCGTTACATCACCCCCCCCTTAACTGATAGTCACCGTGTGACTATCGAAATATGGAGGCCACCCGTTGGCCACCATTGGGACAGGGAGCACTTGTTGGGTCCGTTCCATTCACTTTCCGCTTGACCTCGCAGAGTAAACATGTCTATGCGAGGTGACTCAAGACCTACACAGCCCGGTGCTGTGCCAGACTCTGCGGCAGACGATTCGTCGTCTGCCGCCCCTTCTTCGCCTGCATCAACAGGTGCTGCAGGTGCACGCGGTATTACACCGCGTGCGCACGATGACCCAGATGTAGAGGTCATCTACTCTGGCGAGTCGGACGTGTCTGACTCGGGCAATGCTCCAGAGGCGTCTCGCTCACCGGCGACGCCTCAGTATTCGCCAAGCCCACTGCCGAACGAACGGACTCGTGATTTGCATCACAGTCTGCTCGGCAGTGATGATGATGATCAGGGTGGTGAGTTCTATTCCTCACCACCACCGGCTCGTGCGTCTTCGCACGAGCGTGATGACGATGGCGCGAGCCGTCGTCAATCTGGGAGCCGTGGTACCGACAAGGGTACCACTGTGAAGCGTGATGAGTCGAACCCAGGCGTTTCCCCGAACGGCTCATCAATAGCCTGTCTCACGAGACAGGCCAACGCCATCGAATACCCTTATTCGATGCAACTGAGCTTCACGGCTTGAGTTCCAGCGCGAAGAACTTTCGCGCTGAAGAAGATTTTTATCTCGATGTCTTCCTTAGACATCGATGATACAACAGCAACCAAAAGCGTGACAAGGCCTCGCTTTTGGCTGCGTGGAACGCGTTCGTCCAAAACGTAAAGAATTTTGGACGAGAAGGGTGGCTCAAGAAACTTGAGGCGACACGCCTCAGGTTCGAAAGGCGAACGCCAACCGGTGCTATGTACCGGTTGCATTGTTTATCGAGTGAGGCAGGCATTCCTTGCCTCACATGGGGAGACCCTTGTGCGAGTTGTGTTGACAACTCGCAGCGTGCAAATAGGGATGTGTATTCCCTAAATTCGCCCTGGGGAAGGGCACATCTCTCGGACGAGATGCGTGACGCGATTGCAAACTTGCAATCCGTCTACAAGCGCCTAGGGCGCGTGTTTACCGATGGGCCACAGGAATAATCGGATGGGTCTCGTCATACTGGCGGACGAGACCTTCAACATCCATCAACCGCTGAGAGCGGGGGTCCCAGCTGTTCCAAGAGGGTGGATACCCCCGCCACTGGACGAGGTAGCTCGTCCTTGATCCTGAATCGTCACGGTGATTCAAGATACGCTCCACTAGAAAGCGTTGATCACCGTGAGCATCCACCAAAGGATGTGGTGGAGGAGGAAAGACCTCCTCCAGATGATTCGGTTCACCATCTCGACCCTTACGAGATGGATCGCGCAATCGATGAATCGCGCGATGACTTAAAGCACGAGCGCGACC